ATGGGTCAGTGGGCGGGCCTGGGTTGTAGTCCAAAATTTGTGGGCCGACCCGGAACCAGCCCGGAACCCGTAGCCGTTACTGGGCTCATACGTTGGCGGGCCGACCCGACCCGGACCACCCGGATTGACACCTCTAGAAAAAAGGTTGGTAAAGTTTCCATGAAAGATCTTGCATATGCTATTTGTTATATCAGAAGATATTGTTTTATTACTAGAATTGTTTAATTTGTACTTGTATTGTTAAAAATGTGAATGCTCCCAAAACATGCTGAAGGCGAAGACTTGGAGAACAAAGGAATCTAGGCATCATGTTGGATCGGATCTTACAAATCCTGAACAATGATTAAACCTTCGGAAATCTTCAACGAAGCTTCTACTTTACAATCTAAAACTTACTATAATATGCTCCGAGCTTTAGCTAATATTCAAAACGACTATTAGTGGGATGCTAATTTTTTCACCAGATCATTTTTTTACACAAAGCTTTAGTGGAATACTTGTTTATGTTGTGTGGTATGTTTGGCAAGTGCTGTCGTGTAATGTTTTGTTAAAAAGATGAACAAATTTTTGTTGTCTATGAAACAGGGAGGACCTACTCCTGCTCTAATCAAGGCTGAGGCGCCATGGTATGCTCAAAGGCTAGATGTTTGTAATTCAGATTCCGTCAAAATATTGATTACCGGATTTTTGGTAAATTTCAAATATTTATTTCTTAATTATAACGTATACGTGAACATCTATTAATGCTTTTAAATTCTTGAGCTAAAGAAAATTTTTATTTTCAAACTATTTTTTCAGGCAGTCCAACTGTTCCCTCTTTATGTAAACAACGCGAAAAGTCCACGTCGACTCGCATTCAATACTTGTCTACCTATATTTGTAACATTCGGATTGCGTAGCTATTCACGTAAAATATTTGGATTGCTTTTTTGAATTATAAGTGGTTGATAAATCTAATTATTGAACCAAGTCTTTGACATGGTTCTTTGCTGCAATTTAAGCAAGGATAACCCAAGGCAGAACACAATGGTAAGAAGGCTGATCAGAAGAACTCGACTTTTCAAAGCAGACCAACTAGTTCACCATGGGTAGGATCCCCTCTATACAAAATGCTGATATAAATTGTAATCAAAATTCCTAGTGTAAATCGAGCTTCTTGAAATCATTAACTACAATTATCATCTGGGTATTATTGCTTGGCATGGCTGAAACAAAAATATCATCTTTTGTCAAATATCACCTCACTGAATTAGTAAAACAAAATCTTGCTCCAAACCAGGCTTCTGTTCATATTCACCGTGATTGCCTTGAGACTGCAACATTTACAACTGCAGCATTCAAAGGATTGAGTGAAGCTCCAACGTTCTTATCCCATCAAATGTGTAAATGTGGGTACAAATCAAGGCAACGAACCTTCATTCAGTAAGGTCCATGTATGATTTCAAGGCCTAGAAAACATTTGTGCTGCCTGACTTAGGGTCCATTTGGCGTAAAGGCCCGTTTGACATAACTTTTAAAAAGTCAAAAAGAAGTTTTAAGACTCAAAAACTACTTCAGGACTCATTTTACTAATTTTATGAAAGTACTTCTAGTTAGAAGATTTTTTAGATGAAGATGTGACTTCCTTCAAAAAAACACCTCCGGAATAGAAAGTTCTTTTAAAAATTAATTTCCAAACAAAATAAAGGTAGTCTCCTCCAAAAGCTCTCCTATAGGAAAGCAAAAGCCATTGCAAACAAGCCCTTAATTCCACCTACTCCCAAATTCCCAATATTATACTGCTATGACAATAAAGAGAATCTGAAACCACATATACTCACTAGAACACAGCAAAATTTTACTAGCATTCCCTCCTACGAACAATATGCAGATAAACAACCAAAACCAGTTGCTATCAATTAAGAGAACACTGACCATTATTAGAGCAAGTAAAACACTGCACATTGGAATGTTCAGTTCTAGAGGCTTGCTAATAACCATAGAACCGATAGCATAGATATGGCTCATAAAAATAAGTACACTCGACAGAACAAAACAACATTGTCCGTATCTCAAATCATGAAACAGATGGGAAGTGCAGCTTCTCAGATTGATTTTTTTTTTTTTTGCATACAGACTGCAGAAGTAACAGTCTGAAGATCCAAAGACTTCACACTAGTCAATCACATCAGTTTCCATAAACAAGCACAATAACAATTTATGCCAATTGAGAATGAACATCACATTATGGTGCAACGGCTCCTTTCCTCTGATGATTGTGGGACAGCTTGCTGGTACCTGTTCGACTCGGATGGATTGTATGTGAATTCTGAAGTATCAAGCCCATACTGATATAGAGGGAGCAGAAAGCGATTAGACACGAACTACAGAATTTATAAATAAAAGCTGCAATCAAATAATGGTATTATCTATGGAATGCACAGTAATGTACCGAGTACCAGATAAAAAATACCATACCCCATATATGCAAGAGGAATAAATTTTCAAGATGACATTATTGTAGATGCCAGTTAAAAATGACCTGGGCCTGTTTCAGTCTTGCAGTTTTCAAATTCAAATAGAAACCAAATTGAATCCTTCATTACTCAGTATGAAAACTTATCTAAAGAATCTTTCTTTCTACATGCATACATATATGTATACATCCCCATAGAATATCGAGCATTTAACCCCCTATAGTTGTTTTAAGCTGCTGAAACCCACCCCTGCATTTAGCCCCTTTATTCTATTTTCAAAATCTACCGCACCGTCTCGTCTATTCAACCGCAATATATCAAGTAAACTCTCCGCGTAACTATAGAGGTCAAATGACCTTTCCAACATGCTCTAAGAAAATATTCGTGCTCATACACCATGTTTTAAAATTGCAGCCTCCCAGATTTATAATGCTGAGGATAAGTTAAAAGAGAAAATAAATGGAATTTCAGAATGGATCACGATTTCATTGTAGAGATTTGAAAAATTCAGAATATAAAAATAACAATATCCTTGTTTTCTCTCATTGGCACTGTATGTTCTACTGATAAAAACACACTCTTTAAGCTTTTAGAAGTTCCCACAACAGCTATACAGAAACATATTGTTGAAGACAATATTTAAATGATATACATCTCTTTTAGACAAGTGATTCAATGTGGTATCAGAGCACACAAAAATCCTAAAAATCAATCCGTGCCACCACAAATTAAGAAATTGTGCACATGTAAGACTTACCCTCGAGGGAACATGTTGAAAATAAGATTTAAATGATATGCATACGGCTATCTCTAACAGCTAAAGCTTTCAAAAGGTTTCAAAAGTGGTTCAACACATATTTGGGTTTCTTAATGAACATATATTCATTTAATTAACCATTCTTTTTCTTATTTTGCATCCTTCTTTGGGTTTTGAATGTAACTGGTCAAAGTTTATAGCAACTGATATGATCAACACCCCTCCCCCCAAGAAGGGGGAAAAAATAAAAAATAGAAGTGCAACCTATGTTAGCAGGTTCCACTTGAAGATTCTGAATGGAAAAACAAGGTGAGAATTGAGTTTTTTGTTCTTCATATTCACTCATTAACCATGATTTAAGTAATATCAACAATCATTCGATATCTAGCAGGAACAAAAAGCAGAACACACATTTCAAGGCAAAGGAAGAAATGTAAACAAAACATTACGTACCTTTTCCCTCATACGCGTGCTCCAAGCATCACTCCTACTTGGAAGATGATCAAGGGTACCAGTAACAGGCACACCTGTGGCGGTAACTGTTGACCTGTTATTGATCAAAGGCTGCCGGATCTGTTGCCTGGGGCCACTTATATACTCATCGTCACTATCATAATCTGCTGGTCTGTTGGCAGCCCTTACAACAAGTGCTAACAAAAATACAAGAGCCTGCAATTTCATGGGCAGTAAGTGTCACTGGAAAAAAATAATGGAAGAAATTCACAGCAGCTTGTGGTCAGCCATTTAAGCCTGATAAATTTAAATCATGGCTAAAATTCCAATATTATTTGTTCAGGGAGTCTTAAATGATCACACTTTGAAAATCTAAACCAAGTTTTTACTATAGCAAACAAGTTGGCACTGGGAAATTGAAGATTAGAGCACAAGAATTTATATATATACATATTGCTTTGAATATAAAGCTTAATTTTCAAAAGTTCTTGCACAAGGTTTCAGGCTACACCGTTATCCCAACCCACTCTCTCACTCTCTCTCACACGCACACAGAGAACCTCACATTTCGTAATTGAAACTAGAGAGGAAAATAGATGAAAAATGAGACATGGTCATTCTTGAAATGTTAACCACTCCATCTTTTCATTAAATGTTAAATTCTTTTCATAAGGTTCATTCTTTGGAGGATTTCTATAAATGACAATGTTGCATATACACAAAACAGAAACCTTTGTATTATTCTCTACTTGAGCCAACTAGTAACGTTATTTTGAGTCCATACACTTCCAAAATCTCCATATTGAAAACAATTTCCACACAGATTTCATCATATCATTTTTGATATCTGCTTATACTTGAGAGTGAAGACCATGTTGCACTATGATGTAATGAATGTTATTTAATGCTGTAAAAAAATTTAAATCGCGGTTTTGTTGCTGTGTTGAAAAACATCTTCCTAACTCTAAACAAGAAGGGATCGAGTACCGTAAGGTAGATTTCCTACACCAACCAAATAAGTAGAAAGCCTAAAATTAATTGACAACCATCACAGATAAGGGGTCATAGATTGATTTGATTGAACCACTTTAAACCTCCAGTCAGCCAAAACTTAACTGGTTAATATTTATCTAACCAGTGTTTTGTTGGATGACTGAATGTATTTGTGCATGTTTGTGCAAAGAAAAACTTACCTGCACTTTGTCCTTCGCTTTTGGGAATCTCTTTGTTGTTTTTATACCACGACTGAATATTTGGAAATAAAACACACACCAACACTTGCGATTACTTTTTGTTGGAGTTTCTGAACCTTGCTTTTGCTTATGCTATCATATACTGCAGATAAACTTTTATATTCGGTAACTAGTTTATTCAAGCCCCACCTTGGATACTAATTCTAGGAACATCATGTTAGCCGTGCTGATAGGCATTTCAAGGGCTTTTGAGGTGGGAAGCCACTTTGAAGTTGAATTGGAATACGTGATCATTGGCATGATCACGTGATATATTGTGGTTTATGATCTCGACAAGACAATCTTTTGGAAGTGAGAGTAGTGCTAATTATATGGAGATAATCCATACTGATCAATGGTCCGAGATTCAGATTCATGTTCAAGGCAAAAAAATATGAGAAATTATTCGTATTATTTTCAGCTTTTATCAAAAAACAGAACTTAGAATCACAAATTTTGGTCCAAGAAATAACTGAGAGCTTCCCAGCAATAACTCAGCAAAGGATGGGAAAGGTGCAACATGCTGCTAAAGGCTAAAACCAAGTACTTCACAGCAATGATCAACCATTGACAACTACAAACTACAGGAAAATACAACCCAAGACCTTACCTCCAATACAACAACACCGAGAGCAACCCACTTGATAATTTTCCAGTGCTTCTCCAGAAACTCATACATCATATCAAAATTTCTGGTTTTGTCAGTTGGAATTTCCTGAGAAGAATATTTAAATGTAACCAAATTGCCTAAAAATTTCCGAACTGAAGATAGCTGATATAAGAAGACTCACCTCTCTCCAGTTTTTGTCAAAGAATATAAAAGCAGCTAATCCCAGTTCAATCAAGATCAACAAGATCAGCAGCACAGCATACTTTAATCCCTTAAGGAACCAATCACACTTATGAAGAAGAATAAACAAAAGAAACCAGATGCATCTAGCCACCACAATCCACATCTTTCACAATCTTGAAGTGCTAAATACATACCACAGAAAAATGATTGGTAGACAGATAATATGAATTAAACATCCTCGTTAATGGTTGAAAAGCCATTTTCCTCGAAAAGATGTTATCACGAGGAAAGGGAAAAATTGAATCTCCAAAAATTGTCTTGAATATCGGTGAGCTAGCGGGAAAAGCCTGTGGTAGTAGGCTTAAAATGTTAACATATTTGTTTGAAGAGGCTGCTAACAAATTGGATCTATATTTTTTATGCTTGACTGTCAGAGCTCTTAACCAAATAAACAAAAGCTTCACAATGATGACAACACACCACATTAATTAAAAGCGGTATCATCATTAGTCCAGTATGATATTAGCAAGAGTATTCAATCAAAGGGACATTAGAGATTCGAGCAAAATCATGTCAAAATTGCTTATACATCATCAGAAATAAAGGATACGCAAGTCAGGCAGCATCCATTTCGTGCAGCTGTTCCAATGCACCCACAACAGGAAATGACAAAAAGTATTACACCAATGCCAATAAAAGAATATATGAACCTGCATGTAAAAATGTGATAAGTAAATATTTAGCATTCCTTGAGTAAAAGATTATTCTTAAGAGACTAACTTTTCTGGTAAACAGGTCAAGACGGATACAGCACCCAGACTACAGATAAAATGAATCAGCCATGAAATCAGATGAAAAATGGCTCAATATACTAAGCACCTAATGCATCGCCAGACATCATACTGTCCCTCTCACCATAATTTGTGTAGGAATCAACCAGTCTTGCTCAAGATACCCTTTTTTTCGAATAGTTGGCTCACTGATTTTAAAGAGTACTGGTATTTTGCCAGTACCATAGGTACTTAATAGAATGAAATCCACTAGGATTGAAATCCACATTAGAACCAGTAGAAAATCCGTCATGTGTGGTCTTACAAGAGAATTCCTAGAACTGTTGACTGTCACAATTTGATTATGCCATCCAAAGAATTCTTTGGAGCCGTATTTTGATTGTCACAATTACGTACATTGTTTTAAAGTTTTATGTTTGCAAAATATTTGTTCACTAGAACCCAAAACAACTAGGAAAAACTTGATAAAATAATACTTTCTCAGGAAAAATATTCTAAAGTCATTTACTAACTCATTGGTTATGCAATCCACATTAGACCCCCAGCACGAAAACCATCATAGGAGGCTTCATGAGAAACTCCCTGAAGCTGTCCTGCAGTTTAACGTTTCTAGCTTTTGATATTTCACAGACAGAGCTCTCAAATAGTTGAAGCGCTTTAAACCCAATCCCATTAATGCACCTCTTAACAAAAAAGCCGATATCCTGGTTCACTTTTTAAATTGAATAATTGCTCTTTGTTATTTAGGTTTTTATTAAGCAGGGTCGCTTTTCAAATTGAATAATTGCCCTCTGTTATTTAGGTTTCTATTATTACAACAAAAGGATGCTTCAATGGGTTCTCAACCTACCTTCTCCAATAATCATCCTGGATAAAAGTACACTGTTCTAAAATAGCATGCACAACAACCTCATTAAGAATTTTGCAATCAGGTGGCACGATGAGGGAATAGGGGGAAGTGTTTAAGTTGAGTTTAGAATATAAAAGAGATCATTACAATTGTGGATCAAAAGGGTGGGAGGGGAAAACTTCCCCCGTCCCAAGACTGAAATCTTGGACCACTGCCAACGGAACGGGAATAAAGAGTCCATCACTAGTGTCTCTCAGTGAGGAGGTAGACAAAAAGATTCAAAACTGCTAAACAACTGAACCCGAGGCACACATATTATATTCTAGATGTAAAATCTAGAAATGCATAATGTAGTTGATAAAATCCAGGAATTGTAATAATTTTCACAAAAAACAATTGTTAAATTTACAACAAAATGAGTAAAATCAGTGTCAAGGTAATTTTGGTTTAAGATTTTATATTCATTTCATAGACCAATCAAATTTTAACACCCAAATATCAATACCATGTAACAATCTAAGACTTCGTAAGAAAAGAGGACTCAAGATGCACCAAAAATTACTAAAATGTGATTATTTTGTGCTTCACGTGTTTTCTCCACCTCGAGCTTTTTAACACCTTTTCTACACTTTTTTAAAGCTCGGCAATAAACATCATTCATCAAAGTAAGTGCCTAAGGCACACCTACGTTTTGCCCTTAACAACTATGTCAAGTGTCAACAGCTGAAGAAAGCTCTTTTTGATCAAACAGATTTGATGAGAGCGGGGAATCTATAAGCATGAAGCAAGTTAAAAAAGGAAAGAAAAAAGACCACTGTCAGCGGCACGTGTTAAATAAGGAAATACATCAAATGAAGGTGAATGAAATCATTAAAAAGAAGACCTCTCACATAGTTTTATAGGGACGACATTTAAAAGAATTGAAACCAAATATAATGCAGTCAATACTCAAAGTATATGATGTAGCAATTTGTCTCACCATATAGCGTATATGACAGCTCGCCCACAAGGGACACCAAATTCCCATGCTAATCCCCATCCTTGTCAACTGATCCAAAAGCCTAATCAACCCCTCTATAGTAATTACTCCTACACTCTCAATTCTGGGTTGTATCTACGAAGGATTAATCTGAAGCTTTCTAATTTAATTAACTTCGCTAGTTCGCTTTCTCGACATTGACAGTCTTCAATCCTTGCATGCTCACTCTTGAACCCCATTGTATTTACTGCTATTTGATGTTTTTATTTCGGAAAAATTGAAGAGATCATCACTTTCGGTGATTATTCTTTTGTTTGTTTTAGCAGATTTTCCATCAAACCAAATTTTAGATGCCCCATTTGTCCAACTCACGAAAAATTGAAAGCACCAAATTCCAATTCATAACTGTTGCTCTCACTTTCCACATTGGTAAATTTTTACATCCTTCAAGAGACATGAAATCACCTCAACTCAACAAAGGCTTATAGAGCATCAACTACACAGTTACATAAGATCCACTGCACTATCAAAAATCATCTACAAAGTGAGCTATAAAGGCATTGATACTCCATTTACCTCAGTTCATATCATTTAGGTCCATATTAGTTCCATCAATTTTCATAACCAGTGCATCTGACACATTTCTTGATTAGACACAAACCATCTGAAATGATTCTCCTAGAATTTATCTCTGACAGACGCTACCTTCAACAACTAACAAGGATACTCATTTCTTACTCTTTCTTCTTTGGTTACTAAATATCTACAATCACATTTTCATCTCAAGCTCTCAGCTAATATACGATTTATTAGATGATATTTCTAATAGCTGGGCAGATTTCCATCACCAAATATATGGAATCCAATAAAATCTTCCATTTAATAAAGGAGGAATAGCACAGCATAAACCCCCAAAGGCAGCCCTCCACTTATCCCATCTGGCTCTGAACTTTTAAATCATTCTTCATCACCGATATATCTCATATCCCCCTTGATTATTCCTAATTCAATCAAGTTATTCCATGCTTCCAATCACCAAAGTTACTCTCTTTAAATACTACACTGAATAAAATGAGCTTACCATCAAAATAAGATAGGCATACAATATCCATTGTCCTCAAGAACAAACAGAACTCGCCTCGAATTTCAAACCAAAACATTAACTTTCACAATTGGCTACACGTCATTCCAGATTTCTCACTTTCTAAAACCATTCATATATAATCAAAGTTCTTGGATTTCTTCAATCAAGAATGCAGGTAATACTGATTTGTATTTACAAGTACACACAAGCAACAGGTGTACATAGTTTGGAAAACCAACTCAAGCAAGCATACTAATTTAGAATTGCAAACGTATCAAAATTATCAATAACTGAAAGCAGTACTAAATGGATGACCATACCAAGCTTTGGGGAGTTTATCGAAAATGCTATCAGCTAAAGACACAGCCATGAGCATCGGGCGGCCAAGCTGCACTAACTCACCACCTGGAGGTGCAATGGGGACATCATCACCAGAAGATGCTGCATTTTTGTACTCCACAAAGAGGTAAATACCGTAACCAACCATTGCCAGACCCACAAGTGTTAACAAGAAGTTCAGGAGCTTCAATAAGCACTCCCAAAAACCCCTACACGCCATTCTCTGCAATCGCTATTATATATTCCCTTTATTTACCACTGCTATGTGAAATCTGTCTTTTAATACATCAAATGAGCTCCTCCACTTCCTACAACATAAACCCACCAGTTAATTCATCATAAATAAATGTATTTCACTCAAAGAAAGAAAAAGTCCTTAAATTTGTATAGCCTAAATTTAAAAAAGAGAAGCATCCCACAAAAAAAATATCATGAAGCTATCAAGATTTGAAAATGACGGATTTTATTCCGGATTTTCTTCCAGAAATCCTTTTTCTGTCAACAACAAAAAAAAAGTAATAATATTCATAAATCAGGACTAAAATAACAACAATTATACAATTCAATAGCTCGATCGACGAATTGTGAAGCAATGCATCGGATTTTCAATAGAAAAATAAAGGAAAAAGTCCAACCCAAGTTTTAACAAATAAGTACTCAAATTGAAAGAAAACAAGTAGAAAGAATAAAAAACCATAACTGAACAGAATTCAACAATAATAAACGAATCTAACACCAAAAAAGAGGAATCAGGAAAGAGCTCGCACCCACGAGAGCTATAATTGTGAGTAATTGTGGATCGACAAAGAGGACCAATCCGTGGGATTCGAGAAGTGGAATGATAAAAGTTAGAATGGCTTTTGCGTTGTCGCCAGGTGTCTGCTCAAATTATAATCTATATATATATATTTTTTATTTCATTTTACTTGCAATTATTTTCTCTCTATTTTTTGTAGTTCATATATGATTTGAACAATTTAAGCCCTCATTTTAATCCCTATGGAATATGGGCTAAAAGTTTAACCTGATGTGTTGATGAAACACATGGTTACAAAGTAAACTTTCTTATGCAAATAATATATAGAATCGTGCATTTCACAATCAAAAAAAATATTTTATTTCTATCAAAACTATCGAACTTGTGTCAATGAGAAGCAACTCATACTCCAAAGAGTATAAAGATGAATATTTATGATCCATGAACACATTTCTATTGTTTAGACATGGAGCGTGTTTGGAAATTGTTTATAACTGATTTCATTATAATTAGATAAAAAAAAAAAAGTGATGAATAAATGGATGATACATATGGATCCTTAAACATATGTGAATTAAAAAGTGACTTAAATATTTAAAAACAGTTTATATGCTCTTATTTGGGCTTCATTATTTAAAAAAAAAAATTCAATAACACATTCTTTCATAAAATAATATTACACGTAAACAAAAAACATTTTCTTCTCTTTTAATCACGCATTATAAAAAAAATAATTTAAAAAAAAAATCACTATTTCAAAATATATTTTCTCTCAAAATCACATTAAAATGGAGTCCAAACAGGGGTTTAGGGTATCTCCAAGATACTTTTTAAATATGAGATACTCTAAATTTTAAATTGTCAACCTTTAAAATCATGTTTCAAAAGACTCTTTAAATTAACATTTTAATTTAGAGAGTGAGTTTCGAAGCCAAATAAAAATTCGCTCTCTATAATTAAATGCATTCAAAGTATTTCAATTTTCAATAAAGGAAAATAATAAAATAATCTAAAGATAAATTAGTTAAAATAAAAGATAAATAAAATTAATAAATATTTTTTGGAAGCAATAATATTAGGTGTTAAATATAAACAACTTATTGGAGTACTTTAAAATTTTAACTATCTAAATTTATAGACACTGTCCAAATGATAGAATATACACTTTCAAAATATAGAATCTCTTGGAGATGCTCTAAACCAAACATAATCATAGTTTTTTATATATATAATTTTCGTATATTTGTTATCATGAGAGAAATAACTTGACAGATCATACATATTTTGAATAATTTATCTGAATTCCACTAATAAAATCCCGCCCATTGGATTTTAAAAACTAACGCGCACAAGATTTTCATAAAATAAGTAATATCACTGATAAAATGCCGTCCACTCAATTAAATAAATTGATCCAAACTAATCATTATGGGTAAATTTGATTAACGGTCAGTATTAAGAGAAATTCTAATTGGGTTAGTAACTTTTAATTTATTTCTTTTAATTGGGTTATTAAACTTCAATTTAATTGATATTGACAGTCATTCCCTAACTAATGTTTTACGTTGCTACTTTGTGTCCTAGAAACAAAAATGATAAAATAACGATTGTGACAGTCTTTGAATGAAAATGGCAAAATATGTGTTTTTTAACGTTTTAATGTATTTAAATTTGTTGTGTTGAGGTTGTCAATTAAGTAATTTTCATTAATCTAGAAAAACGACATGTGACGGAGTGGTGAAAATTTGAAGTCGAATCAAAGTTCAGCTGAAATTAGTTGAAGTTCAATGAACTAATTAAGATAAATTGAAATTTAATAACCCAATTAAGTGATTAAGATTTCTCCAATCAAGCTATCCGGTTTTAGGGTTTCCATTTGGTTAATTACAAGTTTACTCTCAAAATACTTCCACTTTTTTTTTTGGTTCTTTTATATCCAAAAAACTATTATGAACTAGGGTAATTATTTTTTTCACCTCATTCCAACACATTTTAGTACATACTTATAATTACTTATAAGTTGATTACGCGGGATCCATAATTTTTACTAAAAAGTGGTAAATTGAGGAATCCATCGTTCAGAAATAATAATAATAATAATAATAATAATAATAATAATAATAATAATAATAAAACCTTTAGGGTGAAAGTTGGTAATGTTTAAAAAGGAAAAATTGCAGTCATGGTACCAAATCTTTCATTTAACAGCTGATTTTGCCCAAATCTTTCATTTGTGTCAACCACAATACCAAACATTTCAAAAACTCTCACCTGAAATTCAAATAAATGCTTCTGTTAGTTTGACCGTTAGTTAACCGTAGATTTGACTTTGACCATAATTTTGACTAACCTTAAAAGAATAAAATTGTCACTTTACCTTTTTTAATAAAAAAACACAATTATAATATATTAATAATTAAATAAAAAGAGCCAAAAACAACCCACCATCCTCTCCTTTCCAAACCCATTACCTCCAAATCACCAACAGTAGCAGCAATGGTCGACGCCATTGCACCCACCCAATGTCAGTGCCATCAGTAAAAAAAACTGCACTAGCCACTGAACAACAAACTCTCACCATTGAAACAGAGCAAGAGATTGAACCAACTAACATCACCACCATAGTCCCATAGCAAGAACCCACTTACACCACTACCTACTGAAGAAGAAGAGGAGAAGGGCGGCCGAATTCAGGTAACGTGAGTGCGTGAAGGGCTCGTCGGAGAAGACTAGAAATTCATATCGTGTCATCTTTAATTCGCCACTGACCGCCTCAAATTAACCAATAATCAAATTAACAATGCTCAAAACTTAATCCAAAAACCTTTTGAAGTGGTGGTACTAGGTTTTAAGAATGTGTTGAAGGATTATGACGATTTTGTAGCATTCACTCTGAATCTTTTAATACCACCTGATAAATCGAGCTTGTGCTTGTGATTTTGAAAATGAGCTGAAGAATGAAAGCAAGTAAATGCAATGCCTTCAAACACTGCATTGACTTCACAATTTGGGCATTTATCATACGCAGTTAAAATTTTCTTCTTTTGAAATGGTGGTACCGATGGTTGTGGCTGTGGCGATGGAAGATGGCAGCGGCAATGGCTTTTGAATTTTGTATGGATGGATGGGGATGGGGATGGGGGGAAGAAGAAGAAGAAAACCTTTTTTTCTTTGATTTATGTTTTTT